ATCTCACATTCCCATGTTTGATTGGTCGAGAATCTCATTTCCGGTAATGTTTTATTACCAATAGTAGATTTTTTTGGGTATATTACTAGGAATGTCATTACCTCCATTCCATTAGGTATTGTAACATTACCAGCATTTTGGACTAAAATGCCCTTAAATTTTTATTTTTTTTTCAAAAATATCATTCTTCTGTCATTGAATAATAAAAAGTTCTACGAAAGTTAAATTACAAATTTATCCTTAAATTATTTTAGATTTACAAAAAAAAGTCTATAATTAAAATTTTATATGAAGTTTAGGGGTTAAAATTTTTTTACCTTTTCATTAAACTTTTTTTATATTTTTAATTTTGTAAAAAAATTATATAAATATTATGAATTTAATTTTTTAAAGAAAATATATAAATATTTTACAATTTGTAATATTATACAAATATATAATAAGGACAATTTGGTCAAATATACATTCCAATAATCTTTTATTCCTTTAACCAAACACGATAATCTTACATTCCTGCTAAACCAATCAAACACAAAATACAACATTCCCAGTAATCCTATTCTTTGGTAATCTTTTATTCCTACTGGTAATCTTACATTCCGCGAACCAAATACACCCATAGTGTTAAGCACAATGGTGGATGAATGATAAGTCCGTCGCCTACACGGCTCCTCCAATTAACTCATTTTATCATTAATTTTCAAACATATCCTGCAGTTAGTTAAGATTTTGTTTTTTTTTACAACCACAACAATAAAACTCTATTTCTATATGCAATGGAGTAAAGGGAGGTAAGGTAATAGACTGTCCCAACGTCAGATTGAGAGCAACATGAACAATTAAAAAAATAAAAATAAAGATAAAATATAAGTATAAATTTCAAGATAGGAAATATAAGGTCTTAAATAGTTTTACAGATGTAGAAGAAAAGGCTCTCCTAGTTATGTCTTTGAGCAGGCCTCAATAATCATCACTAGCTTTACTCCCCCACATATAAGAACACAGCTTCTGCCTTTTTCTGAAAGAAAAAAAAACACCCACACCAAATTTTCTGCCTTTTTTTTGTTACTTCCATTTACCCCATTGAAGCAGATATGTTGTTGGCAACCTTATGGATAGAGCTTTCACCAACCAAGAGCAAATAGGGTCTACCAAACAGCAACAACATCATCATTCATTACCAGTTCAAGCCTCATATGCCTTTGCCAAAGCTAAAAGCTAAGAGCTTTTGGGTTTCGAAATCTTTTAGAAGCTTGTGTTACAAAGCTATGGAGTCCAATTTTTGTTGCTCGCAAACGTTGGAGTGTAGTGGTATGATAATTTGCAACTGTCTTTTGTCCTTACCCTGCTCCTTCTGAAGAACAGCCAGCTGAAATGGAGCGTTTGGTTGAGAAAAATGGAAGCTTCGAAGAGAAAGATGAAAGCTTTGAAGAGAATGGGGTTCAAATGGGGACATTTAAGGGTCGTGAAAGCAGTTCAAGTTCCGATTTTTTAACGTATGAAACAACAGTTCATGAGGAAGAACACAGTCAGAGTAGTTCTGAGGAAGGGTCAGCTTCATCACCTTCATTAGGATGGCCTATAAAGGAAAATGCCAGGGAAGAATGCTGAAAAGTCAACAAATATACGCAACTTTCGGTGGGTTTTTTAACAATAATATTTTCGGTGCAAGTGGTGCAAATGGCAGCTAAAATTGTTGAATATTTTGGATGGTAAAATTATGCAATTAGTTATTGAAATTTAGGGTACTTACAAATTAGTCCTTAAACTTTAATTATAAATACCCTAGTTCATTTAGCTTCAAAATTATTCCAAAGCATTCTAGCTTTCTTCCAATACTAGAGAGGTTTTAGAGAGTTTCTTGAAAGTTGTTTTCTCCTTTTTATCTAGAGAGAATTATCATTGTTTTCTCCTTGGTAGATCGAGAGAGGTTGTAATTCCTATTTTCTTATAGTGAAATTCTTCTACCGTTGCCCGTGGTTTTTACCCTAAATTTTTAGGGGTTTTCTACGTAAATTTTGTGTCTATTTTATCTTCATTTTTATTTTCTCAAATTATCAATTGCGATTTTACTCTATCCGATAACCGTTTTCTGTAACAAAGAAGACTGCACCAGTACTAATTGTAGTGAAGATGGAAAGAAAGCACCATTGGATGATAGGAAATTAGAGAAACAAGGCTCCACAATTTCAGGTATTATTATTAGTATCATATGATTATCATGTCTCACCAAAACCATTTGTTTTGATTTGTTTGGTTAATGGGGTTATAGAGATTGAGTTGATGAAGGAAAGATTTGCAAAACTGTTGCTTGGAGAAGATATGTCTGGCTGTGGAAATGGTGTTTGCACAGCCTTGGCTATTTCAAATGCCATCACCAATCTTTGAGGTATGATAATTTTCATCAATTCTTTTTTGACTATTTGTCTATCTGAGCATGTGTTTCTTATTTTATGTTGGTTAATTGCCATTGGCCTTTTTGTTTGATGCTTATTTCCCATTCATTCGAATTTTGAAGCTACCTTATTTGGGCAAATATGGAGGTTAGAACCAGTTCCCCCTGAGAAGAAAGCAATGTGGCGACAGAGATGGAATGACTTCTTTCTGTTAGTGATCACATTGTTGAGTTAATACCTTCGTGACAGACCTTCCCAGATGGAATCAAGCTCGAGGTAAAGCAGTTGAAGACACATTAGGCCACTTTTTGAGTTCTAGGGAACAAGTTCTATCCAATGGAAGCTTTGTACCTTAAAATGGCAAATGCCGTTGGTGATGAAATACACCCTAAGAAACTTATATAATCAAGATGAAAAGTTTCTAAAAATGGTTTATAATTGCATAGTGTAAATAAGTTAGTATATTATTTGCACTGTGTTACATGGATATGGTTCCTGTTGTGGTTGCAGGTCATGACTAGCAGGCCTCGTTCGGATCTTTACATTAATCTCCCGGCTTTAAGAAAACTGGACAACATGCTTCTTGTGAGACACACTGTCTTTTATAACAATGTACATATCATTCTGGTTGAAGAGTTGTTTTTTTAAATATAACATTATTTTTGCAGGAGATATTAGATAGTTTTACCGATACAGAGTTCTGGTACGTTGACCAAGGGATTCTAGCCCCAGAGGCTGATGGATCAACATCTTTCTGGAAAGCCCTTCAACGACAAGAGGAAAAATGGTGGCTCCTGGTGTCTCGAGTCCCTCCAGGGGCCTCCATGAAAATTCAAGGAAGCAGTTGCAGTATAAACGTGACTGTACAAACCAGATCCTAAAGGCTGCAATGGCAATCAACAGTATTACTCTAGTTGACATGGATGTCCCTGAATCATATTTGGAATCTCTTGCAAAGGTAAAAGAGAATGATTAATACTAGGCATTATTCATTTTATGTTCTTATTGTTAAATCTTTGGTGCAAAACTTGTTTCAGAATAGCCGAGTGAGCCTAGGAGATCTCATATATCGCTATATTTCATCAAATCTGTTTACACCTGAATGCCTTCTTGATTGCCTCGATCTCTCATCTGAGCATCAAGCTATAGAGATTGCCAATCGAGTGGAGGCCTCGATATATTTATGGCAGAAAAAATCAAACTCCAAACCTGTCAGCACAACCCGGTCCAGTTCGAGGTTGTCAGGGGATTTGGTCAAGGACCTAATGACCGATGCCGACAAGAGAGAGATGCTTGCCGGTCGAGCAGAGAACCTCTTGCTTTTCTTGAAGCAACGTTTCCCTGGTCTTCACCAGACCACTTTAGATATGATCAAAATTCATTATAACAAGGTTTGTGCCAATATTTCTATTTCGAGTCATGTTATGAACTCTTTTAATTACAAAATTCATGCTGATGAATGAACATTACAGTGGTTATTAGGATGTTGGGAAATCCATTTTGGAGAGCTACTCGAGAGTTTTGGAGAGCCTTGCGTTCAACATTGTCGCACAAATCGATGATGGGCTCTATGTAGGTGACTTGACCAAGCACTCGGATCAGTTCTCTTCTCTGTCCAGGATTGGTGTTATTGGTCAGAAGAGTCTTTTGATCCCATGCTCAGTGCCCTTCCCCAGCACACCTTATAGAACAGCATTTTCAACCCCAAACTTATCACCCGCACCGCTAGCTACCCCTGCCAAGGGTGATAGATCACCGTTTCTCTCTAGCAGCAAAGTTCCTCAGCGTGGGATGAGTGTGGCAAAGGTCTTGACAGATTATCATAATATCGATTTAAAGCCGAAGGAATACAGTAATCCAAATGAAGGAATTGAATCCGGTTCAACCATAGCTAAAGAAACATCGGTATCTTCTGAACCTCTGAAAGCAGTGAGTTTACCGAAATTGGAGGCAGTTCCAGAGAAAGAGCCCTGATACTGAATACCATGTTTTTATTTTTTGTTTCAAATTTGGTAGGAATTGGAAGATGCTTCAGAATGACAAACATTCAACCGGTTATTGTAAATGTTAAATAAGTCGAGTGATTCATGGTTTCTCAGGGCATCATTTATGGTCTCGAAGTAGATCATGGTTGAACATTCTATAAATCAAATTTAGAATAGAAAAGAAACTCTGTTCTAGTATCTTCTATGTACATTTTACGGTTTATGTTTGAGGTTCGTAGCTGTGCCTCTCTATACGAATAACCGACCTTAAATGTAACTCTCGTAATGGCCTAATGTGAATGCTAATAAAGATGGGAGTAGTTGATTACACGTTGCCACAAAAAAAAAAGGAAGTTTGATTGGAGCAGGCGCTGTACTGGGTTGTTGTTGGCAGAGTTTCAGAAATAGGGGGATGAAGTGGCTAAATGGCAAGCTTTGGTCGGTTTTACAAAGTCGTTGAGATGATTACAAATGGATGCATGCTTTGATTCTTAAAATCAAAGTGCTACTATTATAAAATTGTCTCTTATTATAGTGCTACCTCCATTATACCATTAGTGTCTGGGCCTGTAATTCCATCTCATGCCCAAGTTTCAGTTATAAATACCTCGCTTTGGGTTCGGTAATCTGCATTCAGGTTTCAAGTTCTGGTTCAGCTGAGTGTTCTTGGATTTTTTCAGATAAGAGAAAAATGGCAGCTGCTTTGAAACTTATGTGTGTTATGGGATTGATTGTGCTCATCAGCATTTTGGAGATAGGAAATGTTGATGGAGCAGGGGAATGTGGAAAATCATCACCTGATAATGAGGCACTGAAGCTAGCCCCGTGTGCCGAAGCCGCACAAGACGCGAAAGCTCCGGTTTCAGCCGCTTGCTGCTCCCAGGTGAAGAACATGGGCCAAAACCCAAGCTGTCTCTGCGCCATTTTGCTATCCAACACCGCTAAAGCATCCGGTATTAAGCTCGAGAATGCCATAACCATCCCTAAACGCTGCAACTTCGCCAACCGTCCCGTTGGTTACAAGTGCGGACGTGAGTCATGATTTTTCCATTGTTCCATTTTTTTACACTTGCATTTCCAAGTTCTTACATCACAACCATTTGTTTTGCAGCTTATACACTTCCTTGAAGTGGAAATCTGGGAAACTGATGCTGGAGCTCACTTGTACTACTGAATATGTAGCTTAAGCTTACCTTTGTATGAATAAAAAGCTTAAAGCCATGTTCATATTATTATATCCAATATTGAATAAAATAGTTCATCGTCCATGCTTATGCTTTTTATTATCATCACCCTTTGAATCACATGCATGAAAACAACACCATTGATAATGTAACATGAAAATCCTAATCAACTTTGATAAAAATAAGGAAAAAAATTGGGTTGGAGAGTCTTTGTCCCTCAGCTGTATTAACTATTCTTTAACGCCCAGAACGTAAGCATTGGTCTGACCAACAGATAGATAGTAAAGGTATGTAGAGATGAGCTTTAAAGTATGTTATCTTTGGAACTACCATTTTCGGTTGTCTTCCACAAAAATATAATTTCATCTGATTGTTTGTACCAAACATTTGAATGTACCAATCGGATACGGTGGCATGTTTTCTGGTTTAGCATTCTCTTGTCTTCACCAAACATTTGGTTCTAGACGTGGGGTTTGGAGAGTAAAAAGGGTAGAGTGACTTCATCCTCATGTCTTCTCCAGTTATCTTCCTCTTTCTTCTTCCCCTCTTTTCTTCATCCTCCATCTTTATGTGTTGTTGAAGCAAGTTCTTAAGATAAAAATTACCTTTTATATGTTATAAGCTCCAAAATGAGATGTGGATCTCCATGTAGTTAGGTTGAAGAAGTATGTAGGGTTTTAATGGGGTTTAAAATTTGGAGATATTTCTTGAGATTTGAGAGTTGCGTGAAATATTCTGTCATCCATTTATTTTTTTTAAAATATTTTGGGATTTCTTTTGATTGTTAAATAAATAATTAGTGAAATAAAGAATGAATGAAAGATAATTTTTCACGCAATCCTTAAAATTTAAAAAAAAATATGTAAAAATTAAAAATGAAAACCCTCAAATCATAAAATATTAGAAAAATAATGAATAAATGACAATATGACGTCTCAAATCACTTATAATACGTGAGAGTCTTCCAAACTAAAGTAAAAGAGAACTTAAAAAGTCGCCAACGAGTTGTCCTTGGGATCTTGTATAAGGATATACTTTTATTTCTAATAAAGACCACATGAGTCTATAGTCTTATAAGTTGAGTATGAGTTTTAATGTGTGTTACAATTAGTGTCAGATCTAAAAATTAAATAAAGATAAAAATTTAAAATCTTAATATATTTTCTTAATAAAATGGATATACAATTTTTTTTAATATATTAAACTATATTTAATAATTTATCTAAAATAATGGGTAAGCGCATCCGTCGCGAATTATAATGCAATGTATAAATTCATACTTCTTAGATGGACTAGACTATAGAAATGCTTGTAATTAATGTTAAATGATGCTTGTGATATTAGAAATGATTTTGCGGTGAAAACGAAATATTTAGAGTTAAGTTGGCAAAAGTTCCGGGATAATGTATCATAATTTTTTAATTACCCAAATAATGCACCTTGGGAATTGTTTCCCATAATAGGCCATTTTCTATAGTAAACCGTAAAGACGACGTGTAGTCGCTGCGAGCTGATGAAGACGTCGTGATTTCTAGGCGTCTTTAAGCCACAACACAGTGAAGACGCGATGTAATCCCTACGTTTTTTAGATGAAGACCTGAGGATTACCATGCGTCTTCAACGCAATTACCGTGCCTTCTGCAAGCCTACACCACCACTGTCATCCGTGCAACATAACTGACTTGATGCATGCATTCGCCCGTGAAGGCTGCTCCAGGCACGTGAAGGTCTAGGGTTTAGGGTGCTCCATGAATGGTCATGCATGCAAAGTAGGTGTTGAAGAGTAAAATCAAATCAGCTTTGATTTCAAATCTTGCAATGCTTGCTCCCGTGTGAAAACGAATGAGTTTGTATAAAAAAATAAATTTAGGTATACATATGGACGAGTTGGAGTGTTAGATTGAACCAAAATTAGGGAGAAGTGAAAGGTGAAATCTCTCATTGAAGAAAAAAATAGGAAGACTAAAGTAGGAAGATTGCAAAGCCTGTTTGAAGAACGAAATTTTCTTTCGTTTTCTTAAGTAAGTATTCGAATAATTTATATAAATGTGTAATATTTAGCCTCGTATTGTTCTGTTAAATGATATTGTTGAGTTTATTTACAAATATTTTTTGTTAAATGATATTGTTGAGTAATATTTTACCTCGTATTGTTCTGTTAAATGATATTGTTGAGTTTAATTACAGTTATTTTTTGTTAAATGATATTGTTGAGTGATAATTTACCTCGTATTGTTCTGTTAAATGTGTATATCGGTTTTGTAATGTCTTTAGTTTTTATTTGACTTGTGATAAAACAGTTATTATTGATTAGTATTTAGATTAAAAAGATAAAACATTTAGATCATTTTGCCTTATTAACTATTGTTAGAATATTTTTTTTGTTATATATATATATATATAGCAACAAATTCTTCATGATTGTCCATTATAATGGATAAATTATAGAGAATGAGGTCGGTGTTGTTTTTTAATCTAAAAGGCCTATAAAAATGATGTTTAAAAGAGACATCACATTTATAGAAATGAAGGAGAAGATAGAAAGAAAAATATGAGCTACAATTGATGGGTTAAGGTATAAGTTTATGATATGTCCCAATCCAGTCACGAATGACACAGTACCACTTGAAGAAGATGATACTAGAACCTTGATTGAAGTACATGACTCAAAAAATATTTTTGTTCTTGAGTTATTTGTTGATATGCATAAGATATTTGATGTTCCTGGGTCGTCAAGAAATGTGGTTGGAAATTCATCTCAAATGACTTTCGGAAGTGACTTTGAGGACCCGATATATAGATCGATAAACAATTTTATGGTGATATTGGAAAGTGCAAATGAAGTCGTTGGGACATCGTCATTAGCAGAGTATGGGGTAAGAAATATACATCTTCTGGAATCGACTGTTGATATTGACGCTGAAAATCGTTGGGGAGAAACACGTAATGATTCTAGCGATTATGAAGAAACTGAAGAACCTGATTTGGTTAACGATGACATTATTTTCGATGGTGGTAAAGCTGATTTAGCAAATGATGAACATCTGGCATTGTATCAACCTACTCCTCACATGTGCAAGATAGATTATAATACGATGAGAGCACTTGATCTAACCCCCAAGACCCAGCCTAGGAGTTACAAATGAATCGGGGTGACCACGTTGATCGCATAAAGGATCCACGAACGAAAATTATTAATAAGTCATTTTGGAAATATTTATCGAATAAAAAATCAGAAAAAAACTCATGCAACATCTTAAGAAGATTGAGAAATAAATATTAAACCCCATACAATATATAATCGAGACCACGTCTCCGATAGCCAAAATAGTTCTATATTATGTTAATCTGAAAAAGAAAGACAGAAACGGAGTAAGCTACAAAGCTTAGTGTGTCCTTTAGATTACATCAGGTAATATCAAAATGTAGAAAATTAAAACGTAAAATAATAAACAAAATAATAATCAAACAATATTAAAATTTAGATATTTTACCAGCATAATGTCCCAACAGAAATTCACAATCTTACATTTCACTACGAATCAACAGAATATGTACATGACTTTACAAGGAGACATCCAAAATTGAATACCAAAATCAGAATGAGGATTTAGCCCTTCGTAGAGGATCCCAACAGAAACAGAACAGAGATATAATCTCATACAAATGTCAGAATGGATAATTAATCCCATACATATATCAGAACGGTGAATTAATCCCATGTAGATGTCTGAATGGGGAATTAATCCCATGCATGTGTCAGAACGGGGACTAAGCACTTGCAAAATTAGAAATGCATCAACATGAAAATTAATGGCGATGTCACAATATTAAGAAGTCAGATATGTCGTGTATATATATATAATCATATCATGAACATGTTTGCAGATAGCAACATATAACATAACACATTAAATATATCGAACAGGTCAAGAGGACACACCTATAAGAGATAATCAATATCGGTTAGACCTTAAGTTTACCACGATCAGTCGTACTAGATCTTGCATATTGGGAACCTAAAACAATACTCTTCCATAAATGTGGATGCCAATAATCTAAACAAAAATATACTATAAAATCATTAATTTAATACTTACGCGTATCTTGAGACAAGTGAGCAGAATCGACTAAGTAGAATGAGAGTGATCAAGGTCTATTGGTGAGCGATCCGGAGACACGAGGATACCTTCAGAAAATTAGACCCAAAAGTGAGTTCAAAACCTCACAATTTACTTGACATAATTAGGACTTAAAATGAAAAAATGATGCAAAATAGGCCTTTTAGGTCAAAATTTGGTAAAACAGACTATGAAAATGGACTCAGGACATCGAAAACTGTTAAGCTAGAGGTCTTTAAAAATGTCAACTGTCATTGGAAAAGTCAACCCGTTAAAGTCAAAGTCAACGAGTCGGTCGGTCAAAGTTAATGGGTTGGGTCAGTCAAAGTCAATGGTTCAGGACCGGTTCAATCAAACCGGCATAACGAAGTCCACTCTTATCCGACAACGCGTGGGACCTCCTCCGGTTGCTGGGAAAATACAAAAAAAATCCAGAAAATATTTTAAAGCACGAGAAGTCACTTACAATCATCGGTTTCCTGAAAAGATCGACAAAAAAAGGGTTTTTACAAAACTCAACTATTTGAACCTTCAGTTGTTACAAACGATGATGGTGAACATAAATCCATGAACATCATACGAACAAGGTCGACTAGATGAACACAATGGTACCAGAGGTGTCGCACACCACCACACGGTTAGCGGTGAATCGAAGAAAAACTAAAATGGGTAGATAAAGAGAAAAACGTTTATGGTTTTCACGAACAGGGGGAAAGAGTGGAGAAGAAATGTGTTGGTTTTTAAACCAACTTAAACTTTTGGGTAAATTGTTCCCTAAGTCCCTAAACTTCCAAAAACTCACCAACTGATATTGATTTTTACAATACTTTCAATTTAGTCCCAATTCGGGATGTGACAACTCTCACCCCCTTAAGAAAATTTTGACCTCAAAATTTTACCTGACAGAAAAAGATGAGGAAACAACATCCTTATAGACACTAGAGTCGTTGAAATGACCTTTAA